GAGACAGAGGCTAAACTTTTCACCATCTCTCCTTATAAAGTCATCAGAACCATGCCCATGACCACCAGTAACCGTCAGTGAATTAATCCATTTACCAGGGCATGGTCAGTGCTCCCAATCTAATCACCTCTTAAAGGCCCCACCTTTCAACTACCACAATAGGATTTCCCACCCTCTTAAACTGTCACAGAGGGGATCAAGCTTCAACATGAGCTTTGGGGGAATGAACATATCCAAACTATATGACTGTCCTTGCACATGAAGAAAAAATCAAGGCAGAGATGACTTGCCCCCAAGCAGAGCCTGGGTGGTTCTCCTTCTGCATGGTCTGTCATCCAACCTGTAAGTGACAAAATCATTTTCTTTCTTTTAGATTTTTCATTTTCTTTTTTTTTTAAAGCATCCATTCTACATTTATTAGGTAATAGTTTTCTTGAATGAAAATCTTCATTTTTTTCCTCCATTTTGTCACTTATTTTGTGCAGCACCATGGGTTCTTGTATTTTTAATTATTTTAAGAATAACAATCAATAGTGCATTTATCAAGCTGAAAAAATTCAAAATAATCTTTAATGTCATCTAATATTGAGTCCACATTCAAATTTACCTAATTATTGCAAGAACATTTTATGCTTTTTTAATACAAACCAGGATCCAATCTAGTTTCAGCCTTTGCAATTGATCATTATGTGTCTTTATTCTTTTAGTCTAGAAGCAGCCTATGCCTCATTTATGGCATTGACTTTTTGACAGCTCATGAACAGTTAGTTGTATATTTTTCATCTTCTCTGAATGTTTAGGTGCACTAGATCCATTTTTTTTTTTTTCCTTTCCTTTAAGTAAACACTAGTGCTTGTTTCAGGGACATAAAAAAAACACATTTCTTATGGTAGAAATATGATAAATTGTCCAAAAGAGTAACACATTTTTNCTTTTTGACAGCTCATGAACAGTTAGTTGTATATTTTTCATTTTCTCTGAATGTTTAGGTGCACTAGATCCATTTTTTTCCTTTCCTTTAAGTAAACACTAGTGCTTGTTTCAGGGACATAAAAAAACACATTTCTTATGGTAGAAATATGATAAATTGTCCAAAAGAGTAACACATTTTTCTCAGTGAAATTAGGAATATGGTTTCCTGAAAAATATTTGTGAAACAGAAATTTGAAAAGAAGGCAGAAAGTGATAGAAATTCATAATAAAATCCCAATCATGAAAAAGTACTGTTGCTGTGAGTGCTTTTGATATATTGGTGACTATATAGGATTTCTTTATTTTACAGGATTAGGTTCACATTAAAGTTTTCATTTTTAAAGTACTGAGGTCATCTCTGGTCAAATATTAAAAATTCCACCAGATGCAATCTGGTAACAACATTTAAAGCAGGTAAGTTTCTTACAAGACCTCAGACCAATGCATGTTTCATTCAAATAAATTAGCTGTAGTGCTTTTTAAAGAAATCATATAGAATACACTCATAAAACTGTCACTTTTGGACTTTAATTCTTGATTGTAGGGATGCTTTCCTTCCTTTATGCAGGCAATTTTCACCAGCATCACAGGGATTCAGGAGGAACTAAGACCGTGGAGTAGCAGAATAGGCACAGCCTTTGTTGCAGAGGTTGCACATTCTGGTTCCATCACCAACCAGCTGCAACCCTGGGTAGGTAACATGTCTGAGCCTCAGAGATGTTGTAAAATAAAAACATTAAAACTTCTCTACATGGTTATTATGAGTATTAAATTGGCTAGTAAATCTCCTGACTCATAATAAATACACCATAAATGTTAATTTCCTACTCCCATTTCCCAGTCTAGATACTGCGATCTAGTGGAATTCTTAAGTCTCAAAGTGCTAGTAGTGAATTAAATAATAGGTGTTTTTAGGGCTGAACATTTGCCTAAGTCTGGCACTCTTGAGATCCTTTTTCACCAATGATGCATTCTCACTGTATATCAAAATGACAATATTCACACACTGATCAAATTTTAGAGATATGGGGAATTTGTGCAATTGGGAATTGTGTCCCATTTCTTAGTTCCACCTCCCTCAAGAGATACGGTGTTCAATGAAGAAGTTCTAGTCGTCCTTGTGGGTGCCTATCTTGCCTGGTATTCACATCTTTGAGGCAGGCACAGGTGACAAAGTGATGCTGATGTGAGTGGATCAGTCTTTCAAGACATTTGATGATTTCATAGTCAGGAAGAGCAAGACTGGTCACATTCAAGCCCAGAATCTGAGAAACTACCTCCCTGAAGTCCACCAGCTGCAATATCAAACAGAAAAAAACATGTTAACTGGGAGAACAAAATACATCAACCACTGCTGGACCAAATGCAGCAGCAACAACATTGACAAAAATCCGTGGAAACCCAGGTTTGCATGAGGTAAGCAAATTACCTTTCTTATTTTGCC